CCAAGACCTTTTAGCTGAAAAAGGCTGCACATGGATTTTCATTCCCCCTCATTCTTCCCACATGGGTGGTTCATGGGAGAAAATGATAGGTATCACAAGAAAAATACTGGACTCTATGCTGATGGACCTGAACTCCACCAGACTTACCCATGAGATTCTAACCACCTTCCTGGCAGAAGCATCTGCCATAATTAATTCAAGACCACTTGTTCCAGTGTCTACAGATCCAGAGACCCCAACCATCCTTACTCCAGCCACTCTTCTTACCCAGAAGCTTGGGTCTGTTCCTGTTCCACCTGGAGACTTTAAATCAGGAAATCTGTGCTACGATCAGTGGAAGCGAGTACAACACCTTGCCAACTGCTTCTGGAATCGTTGGAAGATGGAATATCTTTCTACTCTGCAGGGACACAGAAAATGGCAACGTCTGAACCCTAACATCCAAGTAGGAGATCTCGTTCTTCTTAAGGACCAGCAAGCTGAAAGAGTCGAGTGGCCCATGGGACTTATTGTAAAGAGCGTTCCTAGCGATGACGGTAAGGTACGTAAGGTGGAGGTGAAAGTTTCAAGACAAGGGACTGTAAAGACTTTCATCAGACCTATCACGGAACTTATTTTGCTCTTGCCGTTTGGAGACTGAACTTACTTTGGTATGCTGTTGGATCCTACTTGCAACTTCAAGAAGGAAGAACCTGGAACTTTAATTGACACATCTTGAAGCCTTATATTATAGTTGTTGTTGCATTATATGCATGTTCTCCATTATGTCTTTCAGGTTTTCAAGACATCAAAGCAAATTGCACTGTTGTTAATTGCATTTGCATAACTACCGTCATGAGTTAAATAGTGACATTTACAATGCCAGACGGGGAGTGTGCCGCCCCAATAGGGGCATAGAATATGAGATGCATAGCCTCAGTTAATATTAGCATTGTTATATAGGTTAGAATTTATATAGTGTGATTTGCCTAACTATTTTCTCATAGCTAAATTCATGTGTTATCCTATGCTGCCATCTAGTGGCCTTTTGTTGTAACAAACATGCTTTCTGTAATTATTCCTCATGTGACGACGTATTTTCCCCTAGTGTACGCCCCTTCCTTCTTCCTGTGTGCAGTACTTCCTGTGTCATGGCCACAGTTAAAAGCCACATGTAACAAGGACACACATGTAATCTGCACAGTACGTAGGAAAGGCATCATTTTCTGACCGCACAATACTATAACCGTTCAACTGCTGTTCCTATCATCTGCTGTAACCTGATGTTAAAGAATAAACACCTCTTTTGAATGAATCGGTATTGACGAGTTCAGCTATCTGACGAGGATTGTCCGCAGTGAGTATATCTGCTTATACAGGCCAGGCATAGAGGTCTCAGCAAGGGATATATTTCGCTATCACAACAATCGGAGTCAGAATACAGGTTTTCTGTTACCTCTATTTATGAAGGGGTTTAGAACGACAAACCATACAACAGTGCTTGTGAGTTGACTTTTACAATAAAAATGAATGAATACAATAGAAAATGTGTGTTGTAAGTTCAGCTAAACAACAGAGGTCATTACCAGTTTTGCATGGCCAAAATTGTGGAAAAAATTGGTCCTAAATTATTGAAATGAGTTCAATAGGGAAGGAAAACTTAAGAGGGTTTTTAAAGGTAAAATGGGAATTAAATGGATTTTTAGGGTTACAGAAGTGTCTTTAAACTGTGCTGCACTTGTTTTGAACAAAAAAAACCTTTGTTAGTTAGATATTGAGGAACGGAAACCCAAAGTTCCTTCTGAAGATAAATAGCCACACTGCTGGAATGTTCAACATGGTCAAGACATTTAGGGCCTGTTCACATGAGATCAGGTCCTGATCAGCAGACGTGGAGCTGCTGATGCAGTGCGTTTTTGGCCGCGTTTTTGACGCGTTTGCGTATCCGGACCGTTTGCGGACCTGACAAAATGTGACATGCAGTATTTTTCTGTCGTAAGCTGAACGGACTGCGCACGTGAGAACTGGAGCCCATAAAACACATAGGGATACATTGGGATGCATTTTGAGTGCAGCAGCGTACGGAGCCGGTCAGCACACAAAACGGACGTCGTGTGAACAGGCCCTTAATGCAACCGAAAAACTCTCAAAGACATTTAAATCCCAACTGCAGGTTCCAGTTTCCTATGCTCCTGTACGACTCCCCCATCCCCCCATCCCTTAGTTGCATTTTTTCCTATTCTTCAGAGACCTAGTTGCAAATGCAATTAACACCTTACCTCCATGAGGTCTCTGACACCATGTTTGGTTATGCGCAACTTTATTTGCAGATCATTTTTGTACAAGTCATAATGGATTGAGGAAGCTGGTTGGATGACGAGCAAATTATCTTTAGGAAACATAAAGCAAGTTTAGTTGCTTTGATTTATTTCTTACATATACCATGACCTGGATGAATGAGAACCCTCACAGACAATCCTCAACTACTTTCTGCATCTGAACTCCACATACCTGATCATACTATATACCAACAACGATAGGTCCTTATAGTATAGATCAGGGGTAGGCAAACTCTGGCCCCCAAGTTGTGATGAAACTACAAATACCATCATGCATTTGCCTCTGAGAGTCATGCCTGTGGCTGTCAGAGTCTTGCAATGTCTAATAGGATTTGTAGTTCCACAGCAGCTTGTGGATCCAAGGATGACACCCAGATTGTTCAACCCACTTCCATGGGAAAAGGGGCACCAAGGTCCCCCCGGGGGTACCTCATCAGAACACTCTGGACTCATAAAAGAATGCTGCAGAGAGCATAATCCTGTGGCATTGCTGTGTAGCATTCAGAACCAGTTCACTGCTGGAAGAAGAAAAGTAAAAGAGAAGAGAACCCTTGACGTCATGTAACTGAGCCAAAGAAACCTTACACAAACTAGGTCACAATGTGTTAGGAGCTCTATGGGGATGTTTTTCACTGAAGGTCCTCAGAGTCTTTTGCAATATCTTGGGAAATAGATTAAAAAAACATTGTATATAGATATGAAGGAAAGGTTATAAAAGAGGAAACACCACAAGATCCTCAGACAGACCTATGAAGTTCCGTATGCAAGATTACACAGCTCAGCCCCTATGCTTTTCAAAGCTTGCACACTAGGTGCTCCGACAACCTCCCTCTGAACACTTCAAGACAAGTAAAGAGTGTCGGCTCTCGATACTCCTCCATTCGTCTTCTTTATTTAATCTGCATCAATACCGGCAACCGCTGACACATTTCTACATTCAGATGTCCTTAGTCATAGCCAGACCTATGTACAGTTTTTAAATTGTGTATTTCTCAGATGTACATATAATTTCAGACCCGGGAAAGCCTCTTTGTCTGGTATAGTTGGTACAGGATTCTTCAGATGTGGCAGCATCAGACTCCTCGTGTGCACAGTTTGGAGTATTCATCAACAGCATAAACTCCAAATTCCATCATCTCATATTTGAGGTTTGTTGACCACAAACACCTCCTGTCTTGATCTGGGATCAGGCTCAGAGTCTAGTAGCTGAAGCAGCAGGCAATTCGTAGTATAACAGGCCGGGTTCGGTACACAAGCAGACGGTAGTAGTATGGGAGCAGGCAGAAGCGTAGGCAGCGAACAAGCCGGGGTCAGCAGCCAAAAGTATCAGGTATGCAGCGGAAGACGATGAGAGTAGTCGGTGAATCAGCAGCCAAAGGTCGGTACATGGGAAGCAGTATGAGAGGATTGTATCACAGAGGGAACAGGAAGCAAGATAATGGCAGGAGCACAATAATCTGACAAACAGGAAGTGCAGAGGTGTGGCTAAAATAGGAAGTTCAAGAGAGGATCAAGGAGTTCAGAGTTCTGTTTTGAGCACATTTCAGTCCCAGTTGCTGTTGTGTTTGTGGTGCAGTTGCTCAATCTACAGAGAACTCCAAGCAAAAGTTGCAGACAAAAAATTTCAGTAACAAATAAATTCTATGAACGGCTACTGTTTGTGTTTTGGGTGAACGGATGGGCAGAGAACAGCCATTGCATATCACTTTGCATTCAGCTATAACTCCAAAGATCTTGTGATACTAAGGTTTCAGAATGTGACAAGGACCAAACTAGCCATTGCCACTGATCTTTTAATCAGTTGTATAATTTTGTGCTGGAACCTCATCAGGTAACTCTTACTCAACTCAACGTGGACATAATCTAGTGATTGGTAAATGTACTGGTGTTTTATGCTTGGATCAAAGTTTCCCCTCATATAGATCTTCCTTATTTGGTGCCTCTTTCCACAAAGGGTTTAGCTGTAGGCCAGTCAAATATTGTTAGAAGAGTGTGACCATGGAAGCAGAGAACCAAAGTACAGTCATAGAATTTATTCTTCTTGGACTTACAGACGATCTCAACCTACAACTTTGGCTGTTCCAGTTCTTCTCACTCGTCTACATGACCACGCTGGCCGGGAACATTCTCCTTATAGTGGCCGTCAGAACAGACCACCGTTTACACAACTCTATGTATTTATTTCTTGCTAGTCTGTCCTTCTTGGACATTTGCTATACCTCCATCATTGTGCCCAAGATGCTGCTAAATATTGTTTTGTCAACAAAAACTATTTCATACACTGGATGCGTTCTTCAAGTTTACTTCTATCTTTTCATGGGTGAGACAGAGTGCATACTATTGGCTTTCATGGCCTATGACCGATATGTGGCTATCTGCAATCCTCTGCATTACAATGTTATTATGAATACAGTCTCCTGTGTCAGGATGATTGCCGTGGCTTGGACGGCTGGTGGTAGCATAGCTTCCATGGATATATATTTTATGAGCCAGTTAAGATTTTGTGGACCTATCACCATCAACCACTTCTTTTGTGAAGCTCACTCCTTACTGCAGGCATCTTGTGGAGACATCTATGTGAACAACATTGTAACCTTGGTTGGTGGGTCCATATTACTTCTAATTCCCTTGTGCCTCATTCTCTTTTCATACATACAAATTGTCTTAGTCGTAATGAAACTCCCTTCTGGGCGATACAAAGCCTTCTCCACGTGCATATCCCATCTTATCGTGGTGACCATCTTCTATGGAACAGCCATATTCATGTACATGAGACCGAGGTATTCAGATACCGATGTGACAGACAAGATGGTGTCCGTGTTTTATACAATTGTCACGCCGATGTTAAACCCTTTAATCTACAGCCTGAGAAATAAAGATGTTCAGAAGGCTCTCGGACAGTTGGGAAGGTGCTGTCACGTCTGCGGTAAATACAACAATTGGATGACAACTGCGGAGTAATTGATCAATCAGATATGAATCTCAGGCGTCACTCACAATCTTAACGGTGAGTTTGAGATTCTACCATCATATAATCAACGTAAATCAACACAACTGCAAACACTACTATTGCGTCATAGCCTGTGGTTTGAGAACTTTAAATACAGGAATGCAGTGGGTGGTGCTGGTTAAAGAGCGGATTCTCAATAGCAGCCTAGCACACAGTTCATATATCAGCCAGCAAGCATGAAAGGCAGGGGTGGTTCTCCCACAGGAGGGGTACTTGCGCTTTTGGATGCAGCTGATGGTGGCTGAGTCTACAAGGTGGCTCCTTTGGCAACACTGCGCTGGTCCGTCTTCCAGATGGCAGCAGGGTGGTGAGCAGGGTCCAGAAGGTAGCAGGATGGTGTGCAGGTTCGTGAGGCAGCAGGCGTTCAGACCTCAATCACAGAACGCCATGCTGCCTCATCAGTGCCTTTAAATAGGGCCAGGAAGTGGGGAGGGACCGCTGATCGGCCCGGACGACTTCCGCGTTCCACCGTGGAACGCAGCCACCGCGTCACAACCAGGAGTTCGTGCGGCTTCCGCGTTCCACAGTGGAACACAGAGGGCCGCGGCAGAGACACAAGAGGCGGCCCCGTCTGCGATATTACAGGTGCACGGTTGTGATAAGGTGACAAACTTAACAATAGATAAGCCTCTTTTATTTTACCAGACCCAAAACAGGAACTATCTGAAATTTGGAAGACGCCAAAAATAAACTAATAATAATGTGCCAAATAAAATACAAGAGAGATTACAAAAGTAAAGGCAATTTATAAATTATGCGGTAACCGGAACAGAGAGAAGCTTGTGCAATGCGGCATATTTACATAGCCTGTTGGGTAGTTCCACCATTCGCAGTACAGCGCTCTGACTTTAGTCAAGTGGTAGTCACGTAGACAGAAACATGGACGCTCTGTTGCAAGATTGCACCATCGAAGAACAATGTGCCATAGGGCACTTTCTTTGGGCAGATGGAGTGAAACCTGTGGAAATTCACTGTCAGATGTTGACTTGGTATGGTCATAGCAACAAGAATCAGTGAAAGGCATATGATTGGGTAGAAAAGTTTAAAGCGGTAAGAATAGATGTAACCATTGAAGCTTGTTCTGGTCACTCATCAACATCATGCACACAAGACCATAATGACAGAGCCTTTGCCATGATTAGAGAAGATTGACGGATAACAGTGTCTCAATTGGCTGCACATTTGGATATCAGCTACGGATCCGCATTCTTTTTTTTAACAAAGAATTTATTGAGTTTTTATCATAGCAACAAAGACAAAAACAATACAACAGTACAGGAAGGGCAATGCCCAAATTCATTGGTGTATACAATCAAGATGCCTGACAAATGTATGTCTGTAAGGATGAGATCAAGAGTTGTTAGCTGTAACAATTTGAGTATAGATTTGTTATGACCTTTTTAAGTTAAGCTTAAAAAGGTTAGAACTAGGGGCTGATAGGATGATACCTAGGTATTGAAGGGTATTAGTGGGGGCCCAGACGAAAGGGGCTATGGAGCTAATGATACGTCTAATGGTAGTCGGGACATTTATAGCTAGCATTTGGGATTTGGAATGATTAATTTTATAGAGGGAAGTTGTACTAAATCTTGCCAGGATCTCTTGGACTGCTGGAAGGGAATGTACAGGATCAGTCATGGTAATAATCACATCATCTGCGTAAAGCCCAATTTTGTGCATGCACTTGCCCACAGACACTCCACTGATGGCAGAGCAGTCGCGGATAGCAGCAGCCAGAGGCTCCATGACCAATGCGAAGATCAGCGGGGACAGGGGACATCGCTGTCGCGTACCATTGGTAATATGAAATGGAGCAGACAAGAGCCCAGAGGTCCTTACACTCGCACTGGGATGTGAATATAGGGCTTCAATAGCAGAGCCAAAAAAACCTGTAATACCAAATTTCAACAACACGGCCCGAAGATATTCCCAATGCACCCTATCGAAAGCCTTCTCTGCATCCAAAGAGAGAAGCAGAGAAGGTTTCTCAGAGTGTTCTGAAAATTGCAATAGATCAACCATACGTCTGGTGCCGTCTGGCGCTTGCCGCCCGTAGACAAAGCCTACTTGGTCAGAGTGGATTAGATCAGGGAGAACCTGCAGGAGGCGGTTAGCAATAAGCTTTGCATAGATCTTAACATCTGTGTTTAGTAATGAGATAGGCCTAAAATTCGCGGGGTCATCCGTGGGATCCGCATTTGACGTAGTGCGGGATGACTTGGGATACAGGAAAGTTTGCACATGATGGGTTCCCAAACAGTTTACTGCTCAGCACAAGCAACAGCATGTGGAGGTTGAGACCCAGTTCCTGAGACACCATGAAGAAGATAGGGGTATTTTGGAGAGAATTGTCACTGGCCCCGAGACATGGGTGCACCACTACGATGGAGGAGAACACAGTTGTCGCAATGCAATACAGTGTGTAGAAAAGTAATGTATCCATTGAAAGATGTTTAACTTGAAAACTGTGTAAAATGATTAAACATGCATTTGGAACATTTTTGTCAACCTCAGTAGCAGAACTATCGCCATGCCGACCCAGGCGGCCGATATGGAGCCGTGGGGCACATGGGGGCACGGCCAGAACCAGGAACAAAGGGGTCCCCCTGATGCCATGCAGACTGCCTGGGTTGCTATGGCATCGCGGGCTGAGTCACTGGCGGCTGTGAGGAACGCGCCGCTGTCTAGATCACCTGTCAGTGATCTGTGCAGTGGTGCATTGTTCCTCACAGCCGCTGCTGAGTCAGTAATAGGCCAGCAGCTGCTGTGGCGGAGGAGGTCAGACCCAGTAGAGGAGGAGGTGGGACTCAGTGGCAATGGAGGAGGAGGCGTGGCTCGGGCCCAGCGGCGACCGCGGAGGACGGATGAGGCAGGGGGCGGCGGTGGAGGAGGCTGACAGCGGATCGGGCCTGACAGGTAAGAGGTGTGCAGGGCAGAGACCCTGCAGAGCCCACCATAGAGAGTCTATGGTAGGCTCTGCAGGGTCGCTCTCAGGTGGATAGCAGGTGGGCTATGCAGGGTCTCAGTTGGGCTCTACAAGGTGTCAAGTGGGCTAAGCAGGGGCTATGGTATGTGTGGGGTCTCAAGTGGGTTTTGCAGGGTGTCAGGTGCACTGTGCAGGATCTATGATACGTACGGGGGTCTCAAGTGGGCTCTGTAGGGTGTCAGGTGGGTTGCAGTAGTGTTTTTTTAGGCACCATGTTTTGGGAGTAGGGTGCACAGGTCCCAGAACATTATATTCCTTTGCATTCCACTCACAAAAGGAAAAGCATGCAGGCCTTTTGCAATGGTTGGGTTCACATTTTTGTAATGAAAGGCTCACAGCTGCCAAAGCTACGCTCAGGGGCTGACTGGTAACTTTTAGCCCAGGGGGTAAGAACAACCCAGAGGCCCATGGTGCAGCAACTTGGCCCCCCTCCCGCTCTGCCTCTTCCCCGCCTTCTCCCCGCCCCTGTCTGCCACTTTTGCCATCCATGTAACAGTAGTGTGAATGGTCGGGAGATGTGAGGACTCCTATTAAGTCCATGAAAGGGGTGACTGGCTGGGGGATGGTGGTTAGTGGGGAATCCCTGGTGTAGGGTGACCATTTATCTAGAGCTGCAGCTAATGATTATTTTCAAAATTGATTAGATAGCCGATTATTAATTTCAATTAACCGGTTAATCGGGATAAAAGAAAAATGGCTCCAGTGATGAACTACAAGTTTGTATTGAGATTGCAGTCCATCACAGGAGCAAGTTTGGAGCGGTGGAAGAAAAAAAAAAAAAGTGTGGTGTGCAATATAGTGAAATGGAAAGTGTAAAATGATACAGCAATGAATGCAGAATGGCACCGGCTATAGAGGACTACAAATCCCAGCAATACATTATACAGCGCAATGCATTGGCGCATGTGCAGATGGCACTCGACTCTTACACATAGTACATAACAAAGAACAAAAACTTTGCAATATGGTTCTCAAATAAGGTAAACAAAGAGAGCAAGTCCCATATGAAAGGGGGGGGGGGGG